TTCTGCGCTCTTGTTTTAAATAAATGATAACATTCTGTACAATCCTTATTACTCAAACTATATGAGAAGAGCATTCGTCAAAATCAGTTCTTTAACTTTTTGCTACTATTGTAGGTACCAAACATCCTTAAATGTCTAAGTAATTAATTTATATTAATTACAATTGTGTTTGTAAATAATTGAGAAAAACAGTACCTTTCTTTTACGTTTTTTTTTTTCCCCACCGGCTGGTTGGACTATAGCGCCTTCAACCTTCTCGCGAGATTACATAGCGCACTGCACTGCTTTTCTGTTTAATCTTTCTCTTTATCAGGAAATTAAATGACCTTTCCTATCTTCTTCAGCATATTGAAAATAATGAAGTTTTTCCCACTGTTTATTTCCTATTAGTTCCGACTTTCTTTTACGTGCCATTTTAAGGTTAAGTTAGGGATGGTCTGCGATGGCTTACACTGTTTACAGTGCTGGGTTGCGTTCAGAAACTTCGCCTAGGTGCATCTAGATGTCATTTTATCCTTGTTTAACATTCGGTGAATAACAAGGATAAACTCTGCGGTGGCACTATCTTGCTGATTTCAATCCGGAGAAAGGAGGCTATTTCATTTTGCACGGAGACTTGTCAGCTTATGTGTATCGCTTAGGCGTAGCAATTACGTTGGGCTAACACGTGTTTTCGAAATGACATGTACGTATATCTGTGTTTCCTAATCTGCAACCTGCACGAGATTGAATGCGCTTCGGATCAGTCAAAATAGTCACATTCTTTCGGTCACTTGTTGCATTTTCCATATATATATATATCAAATAAAACAAATTTATATGTTTAGATTCGCTTTTTATTAGAAAAAGAAAATGGAAATGAAAGATGTACAAAGTGCAATAAGTCTTGGAATGTGCAACAAATAAAACTGTGTGTCATGCTAGGTTAAGAAAATTCCTTTGTTATATTTTAGTTCTGTCATATCTTATGTTATTTTTCTTATTCCAGCTTCTTCTTATTCGAGGTGAGGAATTGGACGCCGGAGTATTACGTCGCAAATCAGTCGAACTGCGAGCGGATTCTAGATTCTAGAAGGTGAGATGCACTGACGGATACACCTTTATTGAATAACGTTTAACTGCATGATATCAGAGACAAAGAGTTGGACGAAGATTTCGAGGAATGATTCAGGATATATGCAATCCTGAGTATTATTTTAAGGAGTACGAGATGAAGAACACTGAGGGGGGGGGGGAGTGACGTTAGATGTGGAATGTACACGGATGCAGCTCGTTGCCTGGGGTAAATTATCTCTCTCTTGTCACACTTCTATTTATTTTTAGAGCTATTTTATGTGACTCCGTAGAGATGTTGTGTCATCCCTGCTCCCTTATATGAGTAGTGGATATTAAGCGGAGTCAGAGATTGAAAATAGTATGCAGTTCAGGTGTGGGATGTTTTGAGACTAGCATATCTCATGTACAATACTGCATACATTATCATTGAGACATAAGATCTAACAAGTGTTCTATTGTGTATTTCTACCAACGTAGATTAACTTTAATCTAGGCTTAACTTACTTTGTATCTTTTTCTACTTTTAAGAATTAGTAAAAGATAAAAAGTAATTGAAACTGTGATTAAAGTTAATCTACATTGGTAGAAATGGACATATGTAACATTTGCTAACTTTTCCTTTGTATACAGCTGCACGAGAAAATTTTGATGCGCTCCAAGAGGAATAGAAATGCCGAGAAACAAACTTACGATATTGTGATCTCTGTACCTGGACCAAATGGCTGGGCAAGGGAAAGGAATACGAGCGCACGGACGCCTGACACCAACATGCAGTAACAGTGTCAACAAAAGGAGTCCCTGGATGATGACAACTTAGAGGAAATGGATTGTTTGGACCAGTTACAAACAAAAAGAGAGTCTCGGCGGTTAACAATGATGCAAATGCGAGCGGTGCTCATCGCAGTGCGAAAGTTCAATGTATATTGTCGGAAGATCGTATATTGAATTTTCCGATCCCGATCGATGGAGGAAAGGCTTGCATGGTGAAAGTAAATTGTAAGAAATATTTAAAAAAAATACATTTGCGCATCTCTGATATGCATTTTTCTCAGTTGGCACTTATCTTAATGTGTACTTTTCAGATTTACAACGAGACTGTCTTAAAATTGAGCCAGATTATTGATGGTAATAGAATTGATATCGTTGGATCCAATATTAAATGCAATTCATGATTCAGTCGAAATGGACGAGGTTGAAATATGTACTTATAATTCACCGGCTTCTTTGGTGCCTCGATTATACACGCAATAAAAGTGATTGAGCTTACAAAAAACCGCCAATTGTAAGTGCTCCGGAAATTATATATCTAAAGCACAGCTCATCAGAAGTGATTATTTGCACATAGTATTGAGTCAGTTGCTTTACGGATACACTTTGGCTGCGGATTACTTGAAATGCCTGTTCTCTATGATGTACGTCTATTTTATTTCGATACCTTTGCGGAAATATATATCTACATGCGCCATTTTGCACGGTTTATGTAATATTTTTAGATATGCGAGGAGAAATACTTGTGCCTTGATGCATTTCCGTTGAACGTAACGTAATTTCCCAGCGAGTGAACTTCCAGAGCCGCAAGCCTTTTCCGAAGAAGTTTTATGACTTCTTGACATTATTTGTAAGGAAAAGCCACTATTTGTGGAGGTGACTTTGGAAAATCTGAATGAACTAGCTTTAATCCCGAAGTAAGTTCGCCTCACTGAATTGCATGTATTGCCAGCGACGAAATTCACATTGCTTGTTCTTAGGTTCTATTTTATTTTTTTACGAGTGCAACAGACTGACTTTTTTATATGTGTTCAGATTGTCCAGAACGATTTTGTTTCGGAGATTCGCAAAAGGCACAACAATATACACGCGGACGGTCTACACGCATTAATGGTTTCCGCTAGATTGATGTTCTTATCTTACGGAAAAACTCGACGCTAGACAAAGAATTCTGGGAGAAAGTTGTGCAGCTGGAAGATGAAAGAAGTAATGGGCTGTCACTTCCGCACCGCGACAGGTAATCGTTCGGGCCCCAGGATAGAATCACAAATATACCGAGTGTACATCATACGATACAATTTATTTTCTTTGCACTTTTATAATTAAATAATTATCTATAATATTATATAACAATTATTATGAGTTGAATCCGAAACTTCCGTTCTATTTTACAGAGTAATTAACAATGTAAAAATGTATATATTATAAAATAGTATATAATTTTTAGTTTAGGATTCAACTTGCATTTACAGAGATAAAGATCATAGATAATTGTACTTTAGTAAATAAACTTTTTACTAATAAGTATAATGCATTTCAGAATGTTGATATCATGTACCTCGGCTGTAATCCATTTTCGTAAATTCTAAAGTTCGGACGTACGTTCTTTCTTTATTTCATCCGAAATGGAACTAGCGTATACAGCAATCGTCTCTTTATTCCATTTCTTTGAAAATATTTCAGAGTAGAAATATTTCCAAAAATTGTATATTTTCTTCATGTGTTAAATGCGAGAAGATCGTGATCACATGTATCGTGGGTGCATGTATGTGCAGAAATCTATTGAACACTGGAAGCTCAAAGCGTTTGGAGTAACTCACGTATTTATAGATTTATTTCTGCAGTAGATTCGCGTCTACATGGACGAATATTAAGATAAATACGTTTAAAAATGAATTCGTGTAATAAATATATTTAACAATTCAGTTGTTCTTTAAATAACAATCTAGCTTGTCTCTCGATTGTCGTACTTCTCTTTGAAGACTAGTTAAGAAGATCTCGTAGCTTTAAAAAATCTGTTTTATCTATTCAATATATTTCAACATACATCCTCAAAAATTAATAAACTTATTCGCGCAGGAGTAAATTTTTCCATGCATTAATAATTATACGTTGTCTGTTCCTACACTCGAATAGTTTGTTGTAAATTATTTATGTCCGAAAATTAGAAAACTAGCAAAATTAGCAAAATCAACCGTGTTACTCATATACTCTCACTCAAAATATTAGAGTACAAAAAAAAATAATCCTTATAAATTTTGGGATAGTTTTCGTGATTCGAACATAAATAACTTTTCGCCTAGATTATTCGCTAATTCTTTTACATTTACTCGCTCCTTTCGATACTGTCAAAGTAAAGTTATGTAAGAAACGTTTAGAATTTTAAGTACAGTAAAGTCTGCACGGCAAAATCTCGGAAGTTACATATGTTTGGAAATATCTTGTATGTCTACTTACAACACTCGCTCTTTTACTACATTTTTATTATTTTCAACTGTTTCTCTTCTCTCCGATGTCTGAATACATTCTTATCTTTTATATGCCGCAGTTGGAAACCTAGACATATATTCCCGTGTCACTCTACGCACCTTAGGCGTGTGCCCTGATTCGTCGAGGACTCTCTGAACGGCGCTCATGTCTTTAGCTCTGCTGAGCCTTTTTTTCTTCACGTTCCCTATGGACCCGTTCCAATCCCTTTCTGGCGGCTTGAGCGTACCTCTTGGAAAGCGCGACTTCTCTCGCGCCTGGAATATGTGGCCTGTATAACCGACGAAACGGCGGTCTCTCCTTTCTGGGGAGACATGATAATCTGCAACGATGACAATAATGCATCAATTTTTGTAACTCAATTATACTCCGCTTCGAGCAACTCAATTTTTCAATCGATATTCTAACTATAGGATATATTTTTATTACGAAAACTTTTCAAGAAAATATTATCTATGTATTAAGTTTTTGAACGAATTTGTTAATCTTTATTAAAAGCTATATCTGTTTGTATATCTTCCTTTTAACTTTATACCTTTTTATTTTAATACTTAGAAATAAACGATTAATGATTGCATTTGAAATAACGCGATCTGTTGTTGCATTGTTAGATTAAATAACAGGAGTACCGTAGGTCCTTCTAGGTCTTTGCCATGATTTTGATCGATTTCATTATCCACATTGTCTGCTTTCGCTCGGGATAGATTTCTCGGATCTGTCCACTCGGCATGAATTCGCGTCCCGTTGCGCTCTCAGCTTCATTCGCGCCTCGTGCATTTGCGAGTCCTCGCACCGGCTTCCACGGCTCTCGCGAAGGATAAGGCCGAATCTGCTGCCTGAAGCCCAGGAATGTGTCTTGCGGTGAAACGGAACAAATGTCGAATACAAATCTTCGTGGATGAGTGCATCGTATGAGATATAAAAAGCGTCAAAAATCTAAATTCAAATATTCTATTAATTCTATTAACATCAAGATGAGAAAAAAATACATTTCTTATAAATGTTTCTTTGAAAAATTAATCTTGCCAATTAATATAAATAATATAATCAACAACGCTGTAATTGCTTGATAATAATTTGACAATACTCTATAAAATTAATCTCTCTAAAAAGCTGTTAATAAGATTTTAATTTGCACAAAAGCTATAATTAGTTATAATCAACTATAAATAAATTATAAATCAATTATAAATAGCTTTATAATCGATTATAAAATATCAAAATGTGATTTTTTTATCATGTATTACATGATTACTTATGCAGCTTTTGTGCAAATTAAAATCTTATTAACAGCTTTTTAGAGAGATTAATTTTATAGAGTATTGTCAAATTATTATCAAGCAGTTACAGCGTTGTTGATTCTAGAAGCAAAATTAATAAGAGAAAAATTATTCGAAATATAAATAATTTTTTACTTTAATAAATAAAGAAAATAAAAATATTTTAAATCCACCATACTATATTATATAATAATTCAATCGATTGCTTTTTTTATATCGATAGTAAATATTACACGCGAAATAATAATGCTATTATTTTATTGCAGTAATTATTTTTGTAATTGCGTATCTTTTTTTTTTTTTTAGATTCGATCATACAATTCTCGAAGCGCGTCGCGTTTTGAATTTTCCGCCTAATCAAATTTGCTTTATATTATCCTATTTCAGGCAAATCGAGAGCAATCGCCGAATGAAATGTACAAAATATACAAAAAAATGAAATGTAACAAAAGCAATCGATTAAATGATTAAAAGATATTTGACGTATCGACTATTTGCTAATTAATATACACATTCATTAAAATAGCACGCGGGATTTACACATTCAATATTGCCTCGTCGATCTTCAAGCGGTCTCGAAGTGCAACTGACTCGCGACGCCATCGTGGTGAAGTCGCCGGCAACACTTTCAAAAATTTCAGTCTTTGCGGGGGGCCGCGGACGCGCCGGACGTGTGGGACGATCACCGGCCGCGAATTGTGGTGTAACGTCGCGACGCGTTTGTTTAGCGAGTGTACGACCGCGTTCCTGATCGCGGCATCGCTTCGACTTGCCGGAGTCGCCGCGGTCGATCAATAATTCGATCGAAGGAATCCCGCGAGGCGTCCCGGAGCCAGCCGTCAACGATCGTCGCGTACGCCGACGTTTTATACGCCGCCCGATTGATAAAGACCGTGGATTAATCGCGGACAATTACGACGGATTACGGACCATTCGCAAAAATATCACGCGATCGCCCCGAACGCTCCGCGTCGGCATTCCCGAAATCATCAGGCACGCTCGCTTTATCGCTCTGGAATATAGCGATCTTATTGCGCGATACATTTGTAATGAGAATGCACGAATGGATTCGTGTGTACGAATGTAAATATACGAGCTGCAGTACGACGAATATCCGAGGTACGCGAAAGTATGCATCTTTTCGCGTCCCCCCCTGGATATTCATCTTAATTGTAGCTCGTACATTTACACTGATCGTATACATGAATTCGTTCGTGCGCTCATTATAAAGTATGTATGTCGCAATAAGATCGCTGAAACATCGGGAGGAGGGGGGGTCGTTCTAGAAATCATTACGTGCCCTAGTGTCAACAGGTGTGGCGTCGCGTCGCCGTGGCGAATGGCGTGAATTTTGGCGCGCGATCCCGGATCGTGATTTCCGCGTCGTACGTGAATTAGTGAGCCATTTCAGGCGGAATTAAAAGCGAGCGTGCCTGATTTCGGGAGTGCCGGCCGTGCGGAGTGTCGGCCGGCGATCGTGATATTTTTCTCCGAAACGGTGCCATAAATCCGTCGCGAGTGAGTGTTGTGAATGTGTTGTGCAAAAAAGAGATGGATTGACAACAAGAGAGGAGGAGGAGGCCCGGGGAGGCATCAGGCGACGGGCGGAGCAACCGTGGGTAAGCACGATTTAATTGTGGCTCGCTTAAAAAACTTGTTATTTCGTAAAATGTTATTTTTTTGGAATGTTATTTTATAAAGAATATATTTGTATTTTTTACAGATTATTATATTCAATCTCCGCTGCTGCGCATCGTACTGGTGAGCGAATTGTTACTAATTTGTTTTCACATATTCCAAAAGCTTGACTTGAGAACTTTTTTTTATTAATATTCTGTCTTTTATAGTTTTATTAATATAGTCTGTAGCTATATTGATATGTTGAAATTTTGACAATTTTTTAAAATTCTACTTGCGATCAAAAGAATATTTGAAGAGATTCTGATATCTCCTGTAATCTTACCGGTATATCCTGGAATGTTACGGCGGCGTCTTGTACGATACAGCTACGTTATTCCAATCTTTTCTGATTCCTTTATCCTGAAGAGTTGGTAATTCCGCTTCTCTTGAAACCGGAACTTGGCCTTTATGCTCCAGTCATAAGAATCTTTTCTAATTATTCCTACGACAGTATGTAAAATTAAACTTTTGAGTGCGTAATTTTATTTTTTCCATAATATTTTGCGATTATTACACAATCTTCGTTGTTCAAGTTTTTTTTTATAAATAAGTGCATCTCTAATTTTGACAGCTTAATTTTTTTAATATCTCTTTGTCTTGCCTTTATTATTTCTTCCGTACTCGCTTCGAATCTCTTTCCAACGCGAAATTTGAAGGTGGGACAATGATTTGTGTACCTAAAAGCACACGCAACTTGTTAACTATCCATAATATTTTGTAATTATTACACAATCTTTGTTGTTTAAATTTTTTTTTATAAATAAGTGCATCTCTCATTTTGACAGCTTAATTTTTTTAATAATATCTCTTCGTTTTGTGTTTGTTATTTCTTCCGTACTAGCTCCGAATCTCTTTCTAACGCGAAATTTGAAGGTGGGACAATGATCTGTGTACCTAAAAGTACACGCAACTTGTTAATTATTCATAATATTTTGCGATTATTACACAATCGTTGTTCAAGTTTTTAAATAAATAAGTGCATCTCTAATTTTAACAGCTTAAGTTTTTTAATAACTTACGTGTTTTTTAATATCTCTTCGTCTTGCCTTTGTTATTTCTTCCGTACTAGCTCCGAATCTCTTTCCAACGCGAAATTTGAGGGTGGGACAATAACCTGTGTACCTAAAAATACGCGCAACTTGTATATTAGCACTTGTAAGGTAGCACGAAATGAATTTTGAAAGATGATAAATTTATACATACCTAATAACACCGTTGCATTCCTCAAAACTTAGAGAAATCGAGTTTTTCGTAAAATAAGCTATCGTATTAATATTATGGTACATTGTTTCACAATAAGTGAAACGGCAAGTTTCATTTATGTGATACTTTCATTTGTAATTAAGTATGTTGAATAAGCGAGAAAAAATAGAAAAGACAAGAGAAAGCTGATACACGCTTATATTAATAGATTTTCAAATGGTCAATTAAAAATTGTTGCGCATGTCGCGTACAATGTCTGCGTTTAATTACAAACTTCTTTGTTTGACGCCATATGTCTGCATACATTACGCAATGAAGCTGAGGAGACATTTAGTACCTATACGATTTCTAGATACTTGTAATGCCTGCTAATTTTTGTACTTGTATTTCGACCTTTAATTCTCCGCGCTGTGTATCTAACCATCAGGTTGTTTATTCGCATCTGAAACATTCATTTACAAATTTCAATATTTAAATTTATAAAACACGCTGTATTAAGATCTGATTTTAAATTCTGAGTTGGAAAAATGTCGCGTTTTTTTACGAGACTGCTTGTGTATAGGTTAAATTACAAATAAATTGCGCATTGCTTCAACTGAACGCATGCTCTTTGCGTGTTCGTTTATCGCGCTTTAATATCGCCTTTCTACACTATCAAATCAAATTACTTCACCTTTAATCTACATTTCGTATATTTGTGTTAGGTTAGTGACCAAATCACTATTTTATTATTAGTTTGCTATACATATACATACAGCAAACGTTGTAAAAATTGTCGGCGGAATTGGTGCCGCGGTCGACGAGATTGCTCATTAAAAGTCCCGAATGATATCTCATTATCGACAAAACAATAAATCTCTCGAGCAATAATTGAAGAGCATGCGGGAATTTAAAGATTTGATTGTTCTACTGATGCAGCACTAAATTCATGCAAATTTATTATATAGAATTTCATATAAATGATCGTGCTTTTACGTTTTTTACGACACAACAGTTTCGCCATATAAAGAACAAACTTTTTTTCGATTGAGCGAAAAGAAATGATCGTTTTTTTGGATCACCTAATGTGTCATAAAAGGAAGCACAAAACGAGTGACTTGAAAAACAGCAACTTAATATTCGGCGTGTGTGGTTATCTGATGAAACGTTAGGTATGTCGTTTAGAGATACTTAATTAAAAGCTAATAATCGGCGGAATTTCATAAAAAAATTAACGGATGAATATGAATTATTTATTTCGCGGTCTCGGATAAAATCACGGCTTGAAAAAAAAAGCAGAATCAAAACGCTAAAACACGATTGTTTAGGTCTTTTTGTCGCCGACGGATAAATCTTTCTTTAGGCCTTTCAAAAACCTTAGATTCTCGTTTATGCCACGATTATATTCATCGATCTTGTTCCGCATGATTTATGCAAGGAAATATTATTCAATGCTTAAGTAATATACGTATATATTAAGAGAGATATATTATCTATTATCTTTACATCGAAACCAATATAGTAAATAGCCGCCGAAATCATGAGTATCACGCTAATATAGTTATTATTGAAGAAGTTTCTTCATTCACTTTCTGTTCCATATCCGTTTTTTGTTACGGCGATTTTAATAGCCTCCTGATGACGCTTGATTTGTTTCTCATGGGTCACACGAGATCTCGTCGTGTAGGACCTCTCACATCTTTTGTATATAATTGTTCCTTTTGCTGAAATAAAATTTCAGACATGCATGTAAACAAATGAAATAGTTGATATGAAATGGTTAACCAGAAATATATAATATACTGACCAGATTATAGAAGTGGTTTTCATGGGCAGCTTCACCTTTCCGGTGTCGTTTTTTCGTTTTCATATATATTATTCCCATCACATCATTCGCTTCACTTTCTTCAATCTTTTGCTCTATCTTCTACAAGTATATATAAGTGACGTCTTTGTCGCTGTCGTGATAAGAAAGTTTCGAAGATTCCGCAGATTGAAGCCACTGTAGGAAGCTATTATCCATTTCTCACTCGAATACGATTTCCGTTTATAGGAAGTAAACGCGTCTAAAGGCGAATAAATAGAAGACACAAGCCATATATAAATATATATATACATATATATATACATATATATATTATATATATACATATATATGTATATACTCTCTAAAAGTGAATCAGTGGAATCATCACTGATTTTCAGTATATATCATTTTCCATTGATATACTTTGAATTGTGATAAGCAGTGACTATTTCAATGTTGTTTCAGTGATAATATACTGATTCAAATAGTGAACATCACTGAAAGAGAGTGATTTTTACTGTCAAACAGTATTGAGAAACGAAATTCGCTGTCTTTCAGAAATTTATTTCAATATTCACTATTTGAATCAGTATATTATCACTGAAACAACATTGAAATAGTCACTGCTTATCACAGTTCAAAGTATGTCATTGAAAAATGATATACACTGAAAATCAGTGATAATTCCACTGATTCACTTTTCGAGAGTATAGTTACGAGATATAGGTATACATAATTACGCTTACTGATTATTACTTGCAGCGATTATTTACCCGTTTTTCAAGCTTATATATAAGCGGATGGATTAACAAATGATGCAAGAATTATACTGGCATATCGACTAACAGTGCTCTACAACACTATATCAACACTATTGCAGCTAATGCTTTCTGTCTTGAATTATCATGATACGACGTTTAATAAAATCTATTTCTTGTTCAAGTGTTATTATAGATAGAAACGCTGCAGATACACCATAAGAAGTTTTACCAAGCATAGTTACATTTGATAAAACTTATGGTGTATCTGCATTTCTATCTACAATAACACTTGAACAAGAAATAGAGTTGTAGAGGCACTGTAGTTACTCGATATGCCAGTATAATTCTCGCATCATTTATTAATCCATCCGCTTATATAAGCTCGAAAGAGGGGTAAATAATCGCAAGTAATAATCAGTAAGTGTATAATCATCTAAATATGCCATAATATGCCACATGGGATATTTTAAGCTACATATGTAAAGGAGAGAGTGTATTATCGCGAATTGCTCATGCTATCTTGAGTCTTCTTTGCCTATTACATGAAGTTCTTCGTAAAGTTATAAGAATATTGCAAGGATATATACTTCCGGTTGTGGAATATCTAACGCCACGACTGCTCGGAAATCGAGGCAAGCAATTGAAAGGAAGGCAATCTTAAATAGCATGAAGAGGGTTACGCTAGAGAAAGTTATCGCATTTCTGAAGGTGGATTTAATGTTTGCATGTTGCTGGCCAGTATCGCGGGACGCAACAAAGTTTCAGATTGTCCGCAATAAAATATTTCGTTTAATTTCCGGATTGCACGCCGTATTGCTAATTATCGAACTAATATACACTATTATTTATCGTATTGACAATATTCGTATGTTAATGCAATCAAGCTGTGCAGTGGGTATTTTATTCGAAGTTCCGTTGCAGATATTGCTATTTACCCTGCAACATGATCGTCTGCAAGTAAGAAAATAATCAACTATTTGTTAATGCACTATCACATAATTATTGTTCTAATTTATGCGGTTGTTATATATGTAAAGAGATATTTCTTTATTTTTATCTATTATATTAAAGGAATGAAATTTATCATTCTTATTATATAAAACCCAAACACAATAAAATACAAAATAGTTTAAATTAAGTTTTTTTTGTGTAGGCAGTAATTTTTCAGATGGAAAATTATTATCAGCGGGCGACATCAGAAGAAAGAGATGTATTTCAAAAATTCGTTAATAAATATGCGCATTTTTACGCAACAACATTAGGCATGATTACTATAGCATTGTTTGGTTCATTTCTTGAACCATTATTTCGTGGAACCGATTCATTTCCGCTTGTAATAAAATATCCGTTTCCTGTTGATCAGCAACCATTGCGTGCGATTGTATATCTCCACCATTCGCTCGGAATATATCAAGCTTACTGTCAAGTGAGCTCGAATGTTTTTCTTGCCCTTCTGTTGTGGTTTACATCGGCGCGATTTGAAATATTGACCAATAAATTCCGAATGGCTACGAAATATTCTGAGTGGCAAAGCTGTATTAGAGAACATCAAGAACTCTTAAGGTATATATCGACAATTTTGCTATTTGCAATTATTTGGATTTAGCTAGTTAATCTAGGGACTCAGGTTTAATACATTGTAGATGTTCATATATACCTATATATATATTTATACACATGCACGGGAAAAACGATTTTGTTGAAAGATCTAAAAATTTTGCTAAAAACAGATCTGAAAATAATTTTTTGTTGAATTATCAAAATAATTTGTTGAAATGTTAAAACTGATAAGCATAGCTATAAAACATTTTGATATTCTATCATTTTGACTTTCGCACAAAATTATTTTGATTAATGAACAAAAATTATTTTCAAATCTGGATTCAGCAAAATTGTTCTTTCTGTGTGCGCAATTTAATATAATAAATGTTGAAATAACAAATAATTGGGAGAGTCTTGGAAAGAAATATATAATCAAATTGCAAGATTAAAGAATAAAAATTAAAATAGACAATATAATAAATGACATTTATTAAAATTAGGAAATGAAGTACAAAAAATTAAAAAAAAATTATTATTATATGTGTTTAATATATTATTACAGATTTGCCCAAGAAGTGAGTTTATCCATTTCATACGTAATATTATCATCGCTTGGAGTTAGTACCTATTCATTAGTATTCGGTGGTGTTACTATTCTCAGCGTATGTATAAAGCTCTTTAAATTATAATATAATTTTAAATAATAAAGTATGTACACCCATACACATACATATGCACATTTAATTAAAATTTGAAAAATTTTATTTAAAAAACTCATGATATGTAAAGTAAATGTATATTATTTCTAATTAATGTAATAGAATAATATTTTTAGAAAATTATTAATTGTGAATTACTCATTTAAATATTAGCGATTACCGTTATCCGTAAAAGCAGAGTTTTTTGTTGTATGTATTTCATCACTGGCGAAAGTACTTCTGTGCGCATGGCCAGCCGATTATTTAATGACTGTAGTAAGTTTTGAAAATAGATGAATAAAATAAAACATTATATAAAAATGAATCTTTACATTTAAAATTTAAACAATATTTTAGAGTTCTGATGTTGGTGATGCCGCGTATGATTCGTTATGGTATAAACATGAAATTAACTCACAAAAGATTATGTTATACACGTTGCTTCGTTGTCAGCGACCTGTAATTATAACTGTTCCGGGTTTATTATCAGCTTTAACATTTCAGCATTATTCATCTGTAAGAGAATCTATAATGTTATTTTAATACATTTAGTTTTACTTAATATATAACATTTTTTTAATGATCTCATTTTTATGCATCTTGCATACTTTTAGCATATTTCGTTTTTAGCAAATATTCATAATCTGTAGATAAATATATTATAATATAATGTTACATGTAGTATTATTTTGTTATATTTACAAACATTATTTTAAATGATTTTACAGTATGTTTCAACGGCATTTTCGTTTCTGACAACATTTCGAATGATTCTTTCCGAAGATGATACAAGATGAAGAGGAAAAAATTAGTTTTTCAATTTTTCGAATTTTTTGAATGTGTAATAAATAGAAAAAATATGCTAATTTTAATAAAATTTAGTAATACAATTATAAAATTTTTTGATGGATTTATCGATGATATGCACAAATTTTTCTAATTTTTTTACTTGTTCTAACAATCAACAATTTAATTTATACGGATACAATAATCATTATTTAAGATAATAAGGTTTAATTTAAATACAGCAATAAATATACATTTAAATAAATAATGACATTAATTAAAAATTGTCTTTTATTATTGTCTTTATATAAAAATGAAAATGTAGATTTTCACATATAAATATATATAGATTATATAATAGCGATTGATTTAATAATTATAATAATAATAAATATAATGACAAAGATTACCAGATAATCAATTACACAAGTTAAAAAATAAATGTAAATTTTACAAAACTAGCACTACAGACGCGCGCTCCGCGCGCACTATTTAGCTGCATTTGTTACTTTTTACTATTACTTACAATTACAACATCAACCTCAATGCAAGCAACTGTCAAAATATGCAATGACAGCCGCTAATGAAGTAAGCACAGCGAGACAATCAACGTTGTATGGAATAGAGTTAACAATAAATTTCGAGACTTTTCGATAATTCGACTTCGACTTAACGTATACCTTTTTTTAGATAGGATTTTTCTAACAGTTGAATAATAATTGTATATACTATAAATATAAAGTGCATCAAACGTCTATTAAATAAGCATTGCATATATGCAGATAAGAATTAATATAGCGATCCTTCTTATACATGCTGACATTGCATGCACTGACGGTGGTATTATCGTAACAGTATTTCCTCACTGCTCTATTATCCCCAAACCATCTTATGTCCGTGTTATTAAGATTATGCGTGCTCATGTAGGGGGGTAGGAAAATTATTGTACCATTACGGTTCATCAGCGTCGGTACATTATTTGCTAGTTGAATAATTTGTAAACCTATGCGCGGCTCTGGCGCACGAAGCAAAATTACGAAGTAGGAAATATATATCGAAGAGGGGTTGCTTGTATTATCGAAGAAATTTTATGCCAAGAGTTAACACACGTGGATGGTAAATTAAATACATACGTGCCTCTAAGACGAGAGGTATTCTCCTCTGACAAAGTTAGTTAGTTCGAATGTAACGCTGTGTAACTGTAACGAAACGGTAAAATTCAACAAGCAATTGATATGCCGGATACACTGACGATGGAGAAACTTATCGCGTTTTTGAAAGCAGATTTATTGTTCGCTTGTTGCTGGCCATTACCACCAACCGCCACAAAATGTGAAAAAATACGTAATAAAATATTTCGCTACTTTTCTATCCTGCACGGGATGATCATGGTAGTTGCGATACTATATACGATTTATAGTAATCGATCAGATTTATTTCTGATAATGAAATTATGCTGCGAATTATGTACCACTACAGCAGTTCCTTTGCAAATAATTTGCTACTCAATTCAGTATGATCGTCTTCAAGTAAGATACATTCATTTTGCATACACAATTATCTAGTTAAATAATAATAAGTAATTGAAAGAATTGTAGTATTCTTTGAGCAATAATAATAACGATGAATTCTCTTCCAGTATAAATATTCTTTAAGCTTTAAATTAAAATAACTTGTGATCTCTGATAAGAATAAAATATTTTAATATTTAATTTTAATATTTAACAAAATGTATTGTTCATTATTTACATTCCTGTTTGAAAATTATATTTAGATATTATATATCATCTGATTTATTTTTATAAATTAAAATATTAAAGATTCAAATAGTATAAGAAACAAGCCAACGTAGGATGACTTTGCTCATACATATATCTATAATCTTAATGTTATTTAAAGTATAAACAAAAGATATACATTAAATTACTAAGAACTCTGACGTTTCCTAAACCCTAAATATATGGATACATATATATGAATTTTATATATTAGAATAATACTATAATTGTTTATCTCTCTGATGATGACCATATATTTAGGGTCGAAACGTCAGAGTTTTTAGTAAATTAATGTATATCTTTTGTTTATATTTTGAATAATATTAATAACATTGAATATATTATAGATATATGAGCAAAGTCATCCTGAGTTGGCTCAATAACGCTTGTTCCTTACTATTTGAATCTTTATTCTTAAGAGCCTTTGACACACTTATTTTTTTTAATTTAAAATATTAAAATAGACTGGTTGATATAAAGTTTAAATCATATTGTACAAAATAATATTAATATTCTACTATTTTTTATCACATCCATGAACTTTTCTGTTTAATCACAATTGTGATTCAATTGCAGTATGTAATTTATGAACTGGAAGATTATTGCAAGCGAGCAAAATCAGAGGAGAGGATCATTTTTCATCGATATATTAACAGTTGTAAATCTGTTTATATAGGCTCAATATGCGCCTTCACCGTTACAGGCTTGTTACTCATAATCAGTCCTGTAGTAGAACCTCATCCCTTTCCCATTGATATAGAATATCCGTTTTCTGTGGATTATCAACCTTTAAAGATTATCATTTACCTACATCACATATTACTTATATATCAAAGTTATGCGCAGGTATGCTCAAATATTTTTATTGCACTTCTGTTGTGGTTTGTGTCAGCGAGATGTGATATCTTATCAAATAGATTTCGAGCCGTCACAAAATTCGCCGAGTTGCGAGCATGTATAGAAGAACATCAAGAATTATTATGGTAAATAATAATCAAAGTCATCATCATGATTAATTTATCAAAATGTTCTACAGATATTTGCTTTATTATATTATACATATTTTCTCACTAATATATATAATTAGGTTTAGTTGCATAGAAAAAAAGTCATAAAAATTATCATTAAAAAAAATTTTTTTTAAATATTAAGGAATATCTATTCTACATATTATAAATCATTGGATTTGCAATGTACTTATAATAATACTTTGTATTCTGTCAATAGAAAGTTTTAATCCATCTTTATCTATATTTATTATTGTAAAAGATATAATTGACCATTTTTGCATAGGGTTCAAAATATGTTAATGTAATTAATTTTTATATAGATCTTTTTATTACTAAATAATATTTATTGCTAATAAAAACCTTAGTGATAAAATTAATTATTTTTATATCAATGTTAATTGTGAGATTGAGATTTTGATAGAAATGTATCGGGTACGTATTAAATACAGAAATATTTTAGGTATGGAAGAAAAGTTACTCTTTCTGTTCGATATGTAATGTTAGCATCGTTAGCCATCAGTACGATAGTTATTATTTTTACTGGTTGCACTTTTCTTAGCGTGAGTATAATTATCCATTTTAATTAACAGAAAATAAATATAAGCGCTATAAACTATAATAAATTATTCTCAGCTTTCTGTTATATATATAAATATATTATGTAAAACTTTTATATATATTACATTTTCACATTATTTCTGCAATTGTAGTTGTGATAGTTTCACTATTTGCATATGTTAATTTAAAAAAACATTTCAATATCAATTTGACAAAGCGTAACATATCTATACTGAAAAAAGTCTTGCAATTATAGCGAGAATTATTTAGGTACGAAAAATTAGCTAAAACAGATAAGTGAGCAGATAAGTAAGCAGATTAGTAAGCACTACGATACCACATATGTTTTGTGTTTAATCAATATAGATAATAGAGACAGAAATTATATCTGAACTATTTGTTAAATTTAGCAAGAAAGTTCTTGTATAACGTTTAATCAGACCAGACTTCAATCCAGACTCTAATAATATTTGGTTATGAGACCAATATTTTCTTGTATACATTCTTAGAATATTGCTGCTATAAATTCTACGTATGATAGATAATTTTTTAGCAGATACAAAAAACACATGGAAAGAACGATTTTGTTGAAAGGTCTAAAACTTTTGCTAAAAACAGAACTGAAAATAATTTGTTATTAAATCATTAAAATAATTTGTTGGAATGTTAAAAATTGATAAGCATTGCTATAAAACGTTTTGATATTCTAACAATCATTTTGACTTTTACACAAAATTATTTTGATTATTGAACA